GATGTAACTCTTATTTTTGAAGACTATAAGTTATATTTTTTTTAAAGTAAGAATCAAAGCACTTCTTTGCTATACTTGAACACATACGCTGAACTTATGAGGGCGTTCTGATAATTGCTTCAAATGAACCACTTAGTCCTCAATGTCTCCAGCTTTACTTTACCAAAAGACTGACCTCTACAGCGCCATTGTTTTAACCCTTTAAGGACCAAACTTCTGGAATAAAAGGGAATCTTGACATGTCATGATTCCCTTTTATTCCAGAAGTTTGGTACTTAAGGGGTTAAAGTAGTTTTAAAATGCTATAGAATCCGTTTATTAAACAAATCTAGTTTTTAGTAGCACACACATTTTTCTACATTTGACTACATAGATCTCTAGGTTGGCTATGATCCTGGTCCATATGTCTGTTTCATATTAACTATATCAATTAAATCATGACTGTGCCAGGGTTTATGAACACTCAGGTGTTATGTTTTAAATTTTTTTATTTTTTATTATAATACACACTCATTTTTATATGTACATGAACAATCTGTACCACATAATCAAGACTACGCAGGAGATTTGGTTTTCAGTTGTTTTGAGGTTGTGTCTTTGGATATGTTTCTAGTATATCTCCAGATCATGCGGTGAGGTGCTCATAAGCGGAGAGCACACAATTGACTCTCTGAATTTACGTTAGCTGTTGGGGGGGGAACAATTTGATTACCTACCCTGGGAGGGTGCCAGGCCATCATTACCAATACAACAGGTTGTTGTGGTTACAGTGCATGGAATGTTCGTTTAAAAAATGTTTGTGAGATTGTGCTTGAAGTAAACAAAGCCATGAGCCTGCAAACGTGTGTATGTATATGTATATATATATATATATCACACACTGCTAAAAAAAAAAAAAAAAAAAAAAAAAAAAAATGGAAATCAAATTTTTCAACCCATGGAAGTCTGGATTTGGCGTAACACTCAAAATTAAAGTGGAAAAACACACTACAGGCTGATCCAACTTTGATGTAATGTCCTTAAAACAAGTCAAAATGAGGCTCAGTAGTGTGTGTGGCCTCCACGTGCCTGTATGACCTCCCTACAACGCATGTGCATGCTCCTGATGAGGTGTTGGATGGTTTCCTGAGGGATCTCCTCCCAGACCTAGACTAAAGCATCTGTCAACTCCTGGACAGTCTGTGGTGCAATGTGACATTGGTGGATGGAGCGAGACATGATGTCCCAGATGTGCTCAATTGGATTCAGGTCTGGGGAACGGGCGGGCCAGTCCATAGCATCAATGCCTTCGTCTTGAAGCAACTGCTGACACTCCAGCCACATGAGGTCTAGCATTGTCTTGCATTATCAGGAACTCAGGGCCAACCGCACCAACATATGGTCTCACAAGGGGTCTGAGGATCTTATCTCGGTACCTAATGGCAGTCAGGCTACCTCTGGCGAGCACATGGAGGGCTGTGTGGCCCCCCAAAGAAATGCCACCCCACACCATTACTGACCCACTTCCAAACCAGTCATGCTGGAGGATGTTGCAGGCAGCAGAACATTCTCCACGGCGTCTCCAGACTCTGTCACGTCTGTCACATGTGCTCAGTGTGAACCTGCTTTCATCTGTGAAGAGCACAGGGCGTCAGTGGCAAATTTGACAATCTTGGTGTTCTATGGCAAATGCCAAACGTCCTGCACGGTGTTGGACTGTAAGCACAACCCCCACCTGTGGACTTCGGCCCTCATACCATCCTCATGGAGTCTGCTGAAGGTATTACTCTATTAGGAACATAAAAAAATCATTTAATTATGTTTTTTTTTATGTACTCGTGGAAGCCGTCTTGCATTATATACATCAAGTATTCTTTGAAAACAGACTTGTTCATTTATATGGTGTTTTTTTAAAAAATAACTTATTTCCAATTAAAGGTACCTTATAGTTACCCAGACAACTTCATACTGATACTAACAGCTATGAGAGGCACTTCGTCTGCACTGACAGAGTAAAACTAGGTCACATGCTTTTGTGCATATGACATAGAAACCCATAGGAAAGCACTGAGTACAGTGCTTCCTTTGAGGCAGTGTGAATGCATGCGCGGCAGGTCCCCAGTGTGCCTCTGTGATGAGTAGTAAATTGAACCATTGCGCAAGAGGCTATGCTTCTTTGGTGATGTTGCAGGAAGCAGAGAGGTGAGCAGCACCCGAGGGAGTCTTGAAACTAGAAAAAACAAAGTAGATCCTTCATTTTATTAATTTATTTGGCAAATGGAGGGATGTACCTCTATTTAACTATGGACAAGTTAAGTGTCTATCCCTTT